TCCCCGAGGCCCGGCCCGGCAGCGCCAGCGGTGAGGCGGCCGACATGCGCTCGGTTCGCTGGGCCGTCTGGAGCCCCGTCCTGGGCACCGGCGAGGCGGAGGTGGTCCTGCCCCTGCGCGGCGGCCCCTGCCGCAGCCCCTGCCAAGCCTTGGTCTACCGGACCCCGCCGAGCAGCAGGAGCTCCCGCCAGGTAAGGGCTTGCTTCTGCACTGCAAATACACGGGGACGCAGCTGGTGCTTGGACAGCCTTGCTGTTAGAGAGGCTCTTTGCCGAGACCTTTGTGAGTGCCCAGCGGTGGAGAAGCTCTCTGCAAATCTGCGAGTGAACGAAGAGGCATGGGAAGAGGAGGGTGACAGCCCCCCACCCCCTGCCAACGTGCATCTAAGCTGATAGATAGTGCCCTTGGTGTCCAATGCTGCTTGACTTTAGTTACTGCAAACATGCAGACTGAGCTGTCACATAGTTGGTCAACACAGTTCTTTATCGCGATACTTCTTGGAGGCCACTGTGACCTGATCCGGTTTGTTCTGAGTGATGCACACGCAAAAGATAAACTCTCGGGAGTGAGGTCTTTATCAGCAAAAGGAGGTTAGGGCTGGGGCGAAGGAGTTGCAGGGTGGTGGCCAAAATACAGCCGTGGTGCTAAGCTGCATGCGTTGCTCTGTGCCACGGGCAAGGATGGACGGATGGACGGACGGACAGGTGGGTGTCTGCAGAACTTGCTCTGTATAAGTCTTATACCGGGTGGCGGTGGGTGGAGTTGGCAGGTGTGCGTGTTTGTCTCCGCAAGGACGGAGGTATTTGATCAGCTTATTAAAGTACAACCCCTTGCTAGCTCTGCCTCCGGCTTGTACCACTGTTTCTCTGGCTGAGGCAAGGGAATCGTCTCTCAGAGGCACGAGGGAGTCTGCGTGTAGCATGCTGTCTAAAAGTATTTCATTTCCAATTTCAGGGGAAGCACGTGGAGTCTGGGACTGTCCAATTCCATGTTTCCACTGATTCAGAAGAACATCTTGTAACTGCTGCAGAGATCCTACGTAAAGACAGGGACGAGTCGGAGAAGCCTCCTACGCCATCGCTGAGTGAGTGTTCTCCAGATCACTGACATTTAAAATGTAGAGTGTGGCACTGGTGTCTGCTCGGGAGAAAAAACACGACTTTGCTGAGTTTCAGTGAGCTAGTTTATGAATTACTGGAGTGAACCAAGTTTTGAGTTGAATTCAGCTCTCACTTTTTAACTTGCAAAATTCCCCTGTGATCGTAGCGCTGAGCTAGGGATTTCCAGGGATTTCCAGCACGGCACCAGCCCGCTCCTGTTTCATGTCGCTCTGAAGGCGTTTGGGCTCCCATGCTCAACACCCAGAACAGCTGGAAGGGTGCAGCAGCTGCACTAGCAGTGCATTGCTTGCATTGCTCGCATTGCTCCCCGCCAGTGCCGCTGCTTGTCTCTCTGGACTCTGAATCCTTCCAGACGTTGAGGACAGAAGGGATGTCAGTTATAGGCTGAGGAAAAGTAACAACCTCGTTGCACTGCCGCTCGGGGAGCGTGACAGCAGCGTGCGTTCGATTGGCGCGCACAGGCTGTGCCAGCGCCTAGCCGGGGAAAACCAGGCTGCGTATGCGTGTGTGCACGTATGCATCTATCATCTATAGCGCAGGGGTGCCAGGTGGTCGGGGTTTCAGTGCCTGTCTGCTGTGTGTTGGAGGCAGAAAGGAAACTGCTGTTGGCTTGGGTTTGGGTGTGCAGTTGAGTCAATGCCCCGGGCTCCTGGAAGTCCTCTCTGGCTTGTTTCTGTCTGCTCCCCCCTTTCGTGATCGGTGGAAAACAAACTCCCCTTTCCTCTCCACTGTTGCTCCTGCTTCTGCTGCGGTTCCCATGCAGGTCTCGGTGCGATGCTCCGGATACCTAACGGTGTTTAAGTATGTTTTACAAGCTTATCCGGCTCCTCTGGTGAGCCGGTAGCTGCCAGCCCACGGGTCAGGGTGATGCTCTGTGCGGTGGGTGCAGTGTGGGCACCTGCTCCCGCACTGGCTCCGGCGCTGCTGTGCCTTCCACGAGATGGCAGTGGCACCATGGCTTTGCTGCGGCAAGTCCCGGCTTTATGCCGGCGAGGAGCTGGGTCTGCTGGTGTAAGGGGCTTTAGAGCAGAGATCTTCACGTGTGAAATGAGAGGTCTGGTGGTGTTGGTGGTGCGCTGGGTTAGGCTCTCTGCGGCATGGCTGCATTGCTGCCGATATCTTCCTGGCACTGCTTGAAAGGTTTTCCTGGAGGCCTTTCAGCTGGCGGTGGCCGGGGCACTGAGGGGGTTGCGGTGCGGCAAAGAGAGGAGCGAGCCGCACCGACAGTGAGCTTGCAAGCCTGGCGCTGGGCTGGCACGCTCCAGCTTGGGGGAAGCGTCCTGGAGCGCAGGCGGGGTGCCGGGTGAGGGGGGATGCCCCGGCAGGGCAATTTTGGGGGGTGAGCTGCGTGGTGTTTCCCTGGCTCTGGGGGGCTGGTGGCACCAGAGGGAGCTCGGGAAGCACAGCGGTGGTCCCAGAGCCGTGCCGCGAGGTGAGCGGCTGCGTGCAAGAGCCAGCCTGTGCCCCGAGCTGCTGAAAAGAGCATTTTGTTAACTTTTTGTAGTGCTCTGTTGGAAAACGGGCCACTGTCTGGTCCTTTTGGCCAGGGGAGGCTGAGCGCATCTTCTGTCGGCTCAGCTGCTGGTGGTGCTGATGGTTCTGTCCATCATCTCTTTAACAATGGCCAAAGCTATCCTAACTGAGAGAAAACAGTATTTGAGACGTAAGGGAGACAGGGCGCTTTCCTTTGTACAGCAGTCAGCATGAAATAGCTGGAATATACATGGTGGTGAAAGCAAAATAAGGTCTCAGCATCACGTGTATGCAGAGATACAACATCTGTGCTCTGAAGGACCTGCGGCTCAGCGGCACAGTGAGCTCAGCTGTGCTGGCGCGCGAGCTGAGCAGCCAAATATAAACACGATAAAACTCGTACTGTTTCGGGGCACGAATGCACGAACAGATGAAGGGAGTGACAAGGAATAACGGAGGAGCGACGAAAACCTTAAGTATCCTAAAATGTTCACGTCTCATTAAGCATCGCGCTTAGGCAGCACCACATGGCCGTAGGGAACCGCGGCACTGTCTGGGGATGGAGGAGCTGCCTTTTATGGCAGAGTTAGCCTAATTCCTGGCAAAATAACGGATGGATCTGGAGACGTGCTACATTTCCCCCCCCTCCCCCCCCCCAGCAACAGTCTTATTGGAAAAATAAGTCAAATAAGTGGTTGAGAGATGGTAAGGCATCTCGATAAGCTGGTCCCACCCCCAAAAAGTAAAAGGGCAGGTGGGAGGTTGGAGGGGGCTCGCTGGCGGAGGGCACAGCCGCAGCGGCGGGGCCTCTGCGTGACAGCTCTGCTAGAGCATCTCTCCTGTCCTTCTCCGCAGGTCCGCCAGCCCCGCTGCGAATGGCGGCCTCCCCGCGGGGACCGGGGGTAAGTGCCACAGACATGGGTGGCGGGCAGCGGCGTTCCCGGGGGACGGCCCACACACTGAGGACGTGCTCCCGGTCCCGTCTGTTTTTCCTGGCTGCTGCAGCCAAGAGGCAACGAGCATCCTGCTCAAATCCACCTCCTCCGGGGCAGCAAAACGGATCCTGCCTATAACGTGCTGGGCAAAATTCCCTGAGCTCTTTTCACACCCCAGATGTATTTTTAAGGGCAGTTCTGGTTTTTGACAGCCCAGATTTGCTGGGTACTATTGTCCCCGGTACATGCTGACAGTGATGCACGGTTTCTTCCTGCGGAGCTACTGGGATTTAAGGAGAGCTATGACTATCGAGATCCCTCTTTATGCTTTTTTGTATCTTGACTCAGGGATGAACGCACACAAATATTTTTTGATGAAATGAAGTGCTTCATAAGACTGCATTAAGCGGTTTGATCTTCCTGCTGCATTTTCTCATCCCTCCCCTTGCCAGGGAAAGTGCAGGAGCTAAATAGGAAGCAGAGGTGCGAACCCTCGAGCAGCCGAGCTGTGCCGCTTCTCGGTGGAGTGGCGATGCTGGAGCATGTGGCATCTGAGCTGCCTTAGCAAGGAGGGGCTGGCCTGCCTTGCTGTGGGTGTTCCCGCAGCGCGGGCTGCCTCGGGGGGGCTGCTTCCCCAGCACGGGGCTGCGGGCGCTCACGTTCACCGCTCCTCCGCCAGCTGTCAGCGT